GCAGAAAACGAGGAGTTGTGTGGCGTGCTGCTGAGCTGCAAACATTCTGCCCGTCCACTCACAGGAAGAGATTCTCCTGAATACAAACAAACCCCTCTAGCACAGAGCTGAGGCTTCTTTTCCAGTGAGGTCTGCGGTTTAACCAACCTGTTAGGTGCTGTTAAAGACGAGCGTTTCTGTCCTGCTGCGTGGTGTCGGCCGACAGCAACAGGCTTGGTCAGCTCTGGCCCACTTCAGGCAGGAGGAGGAGTCCAGCTGGCTGTAATGATGTTCTGCTTCTTTGTGTAAACACAGCTGGAAGACACAGAACAGTGGGAGAACATGGCAACCCTGCAGGGCAACTTAAAGACTTGTGTGTTAAACAGTTATCATGTGATTATTATTATTTTGTTAGTTGGATTTGAAAAACCTGGACTGGATGTTGGCGTCAGACCTAATGTGTAGGTTTTTAATTTAAAGAGTGGAATAATATTTCTGAAACTTTAAATTAGATCATGTAGAAAAAAGAATAACTAAAAGCTGCTGGTTTGATCTGGTTGTTTATCGTATTCTGCCAAGTGTGATGGGGAAAAATGTTTTAGCACATCTGTTTGTTTCTCTGTAGCGTTAGCAAGCTGATGATTCTCTGACAGTGATCGCTGGTTTCTACAACTGATTAACTTTTTGATCATCCCTATTCAAGATGGCCACTTTAGCTACGCACAGAACTTCCTCCATCTCAGACAGTTTTACAGGTATTGAACTACAATTGAGTGTTTTAGAAGACCACAGTCTTTCAGAAGACACTCCATGAGCTAATAGTTGCACAGCATCAATTTGTAACACTTGGCTATTAATAAGTTGAGTCTTTTAGCAAAATATTTTGTGAACCACTGGACAGATTTAAATGAAAACCTCAGAAAGTGGCTTTTGGGTTTAGCCTGATTCACTGCCACACCAGACCTTTTTTTAAACCTTTTTACAGGTTAGTCTCACTGAGTCACGAGGACTCATTTTCAAGAGAGACCTGTTTTAGACAGACAACAATGTACAACAGTAAAAAGCAATAAAAAATTGTTATAAAAACACACTGTTATCAGCCTGGTCCCGTTAGCAGCCTGGTCCCGTTAGCAGCCTGGTCACGTTAGCAGCCTGAGCAGCCTGGTCCCGTTAGCAGCCTGAGCAGCCTGGTCCCGTTAGCAGCCTGGTCCCGTTAGCAGCCTGGTCCCGTTAGCAGCCTGGTCCCGTTAGCAGCCTGGTCCCGTTAGCAGCCTGGTCACGTTAGCAGCCTGGTCCCGTTAGCAGCCTGAGCAGCCTGGTCCCGTTAGCAGCCTGAGCAGCCTGGTCCCGTTAGCATCCTGGTCCCGTTAGCATCCTGGTCCCGTTAGCAGCCTGG